TCCTGGTCCTGGTCGTGGTCGTGGTCGTGGTCGTGGTCCTGGATATACTCGTAGCCTAGCGGCAGCTCCAAAGCCTTATGATTTATGACATGGAAGTTTTGAAGTTTGATTTTTTTTGTTTTTGAAACTAAAGTTTTCTCGTCGATGACTGAACGGGTACAGTTGCCACGAAAAAAACCACGATTACGAAAGGAAAATACAAATGTGTTAATTGTTGGAAAAATATTATTATTTCTACAAAAAGAAAGGCAGAATTGTATTCCCTTTTCTACATAAATACCTGATTTTGTTCCAATTCTGGGCAATTAATGATCTCCACAAGCTTTTTTCATCGGAATAGCCCTGTCTATCTAGGGGATAAGAAAGAATGGGGGGTTCTACTACTAGAAATCTTCGAAAATGTAGATCCATCCTCAAAAAAGGTTGTTTTTTTTGGAAATGTGACAAATGCATGCCACAAACACACACGCCACCAAGTGAAGATGCAACTGCAACAGAAGAGGCTCGGCGCGGCTTGGGTTGGCCAGAGGGTTGTTGGAATGTGCCAAGGACCAAACGAGCGCCACAATCTGCGGCAGAAATGCACTTTTCAAAAGACACAAAAAGAGAGCTGGAGAAAGGAGTTGTTGTCATGGGAGTCGTGCAGGACCTGGAGCTGGAGCAGGAGCAGGAGCCCGAGCTGGAGCTGGAGCCAAAGGCTTGCCAGAGAGATGCAATCTCAAGTGGTTATCTCTCTCTGTAGCCCTTTTGGACCTGTGGGGACGACATGGGGACCCAAAGTCAACATCAAAGTTCACGCCGACAAAGCGTTGAGAGTAAATGTTTAATGAGCGAAGCGAAGCGGACGTGCGAGGGGGGGGCGGAGAGAGAGAGAGGAATGTAGTTTGTTAAGCGAAAAGCAGTAAAGGAGTAAAGCAGCCGAGGCAGGATCAGGACACACAGCGACTCCTTCAAGTCCGGGCGCAAGCCAATTAAAACAAAAGCCAAAAAACAAATGCACTTCAAGGGGGGCAGGAGGCGTGGTATGCCTTGCAGCCGGCGGAGTGTAGGTGGAGACCCGTTTGACAGTGTCAAAGGCGCGCACCCGGGAGCCCCCCACCCAGCCCCCACCCCCCGTAGAGAGCGAGAGAGCCTACCACGTGAAGTGTTTGGCAACATTGTTGGACCTTCCAGGACCCAGAGAGAGCACGCACTCCAAGCAACAGTTCTTCTTTGAAGTCAAAAGGTTTTTTGCCCATGCTGCAAGCAGCAGCAGTAGAACTGGAGGCTCAGTAAATTAGCTACACTTCAAGCCCAACCCCAACCCCAACCCCAACCCCAAGAGCAACCCCAACCCCAACCAGCCGCAGCGGGGGTGGTGGCAATATTGCATCGAAATCGGTGGTGTGGCAGGCGACATGGAATACGTATGAAAAGCTAATCAGGAAGGTGTGAAATGGGAAAGACGAAAAGAGATTGGAGTTTCTTATATTAAATGAAAGGTTGCAGGATGTTTCAGATGGAGATTTGCTTGAGGTCAATGCTATTAGGTGGACTTAAAGACATGTCTTGAGAGGGGAAATTGTTAAGCTTCTAAGCAATAAATGTAGATCCCTACTTCCCTACTACTCCTTAGACCAATCATCATAGAACAAGTATTACTCCCTCTCTTTTAACTGCAGAAAGTGCTCTCCTTCGAAGAACAATTCTATACAAATCTATACCCATTAGCACTCTCTTCTTCTGACACCACTCGTGCACTATAGTGGCACTATCGTGATCCCCAATTCCGCGGGCATACACACATATATTTTCCTCACAATTTTCCTGGCTTTTAATTATGCTCAGCTGACAGCAGCAGCAGCAACAGCAACAGCCATGACAATGTAGTGGCTGCTGGCAGGAAGGAGGAGCAGAGCAGCAGGACAAAGCGTAGGATTAGGCTGGATGGCAGAAGGCGGGAGGCAGGGGGCAGGGGGCAGGAGCTTTAGGCCCCACTGGCGCCAGGCGATATGTGTGACAGCCATTTAATTTGATTTATGGCAAGTGAATAGCCTTGATTAGGACGCGCTCAGCTACAATGGGAGAGAGAGAGAGAGAGAGAGAGAGGGAAAAGGCCGCGGGTCAGGATGTGTGTGGATGAATTTAACTCAATTTCACATAAATCAAAAATGTAGCCAACCCAAAAAGCAGCCCCTACTCATCCCCCTCATCCTACCGCCATCCAATGGGATGCCATTCGTTCGTACGGTCTCCGTTCCCTGTGCACCTTGGCGCTAATCGCATTTCAATTGTTGAAACGAATTGAATGAAGTGTTGAAGTTCTAGCACACACATACACACACACACACACACACACGCATACATATATGTACACATGTGTGTGTATGGGATAGATATAGATTTCCCCGATGAGCGGACAAGTTCATAAAAGTAAATCCAAAGGCAGGGCAGGCAACAATAAGCGAATTTAGGTGTCAAACAGCAGGTGGCAATGGCAGCCAACGGAAGTGCCTGACAGTCGTTCGATTGCGGGTTTGGGGTCGGTCTATGGGGACTGCTCCAGAGACAGATGATATCTTAAACATCCCGCAAGCACACGCACACACACACCCACACCCACTTACACAATCACACATGAATACACAGCCAGGCAGCCGTCCCAAAATGTTATCAGAAACGAAAGCAGAGAAAAAAAAAATAGGAACCAGAACTGTTGTACAATTTTTGACATGGGTTTTCCCCCTTACAAACAAAAGGGACCCCCCACACAGACATGAGGGGGGGGGGGGGGATTTTTGGGGTGTTGTATAGATAGGTATATGTATATAGAACCTTCTTTCGATATCATTTTGGACACTGCCCGGCCCCGGCCCTGGTCCTGGCTTTGGCAAACCGCAAGAACATCAACTGATGGCAGATAAATTAAATTTTGCGGTTCTAAATGGGCAATCAATGAGGCGTTCCACAGTCGATACGGGGTATGGGACACAATACATCGAAGGCTGCGATACGAGCGAAGCTCTATCGGAAAACTATGTAGGAATAAAATTTAAAAATTGAACAAAACAAGAGCCAATAAGTTGACCTCCGCCATTGGCAGCCTCAGACTTTCGGGACAGACCAGGAACGCCCCTCGCAGACGCAAAAAAACGAAATGAAACGAATCGAAAGGAAAGGAAAGGAATCCAAAAAGTTGTTAGTGAAACTTTTGCCAAACGACTACCAATATTGACTCACCGTGAAGGAGTTTCCTCCTTTTGCACACACCACACCCCCTCCCTTTTGGGATGATTCAAGTGGTGGTGTGGGTGTGAGTGGGTGTGAGTGTGAGTGCGTGTACAGTTGACACCTTGAAGCTGTGAAGCACCAAAGTTGTTGCTGCTGTCTGGCTGTCTGGCAGTCTGGCTCTGTGTTTATTGGTATTTATTCGACTGCCGGAATGCCTAATCAAACAGTCGACAGTCGGGCACAGGTACTTGAAGGGGCTGTGCTTGAGCATACAGAATACAACTAATATTGGAAACGAAGGCAGGTCGCCGTTTTACCCGAGGATAAGCAGGGGGAAAGGTGCAAATAAAGGGCTAACCTGGGTAAGGGATCGGCTTCCCTTGGCAGATAGAGGTTAAATAAACCTTCTTCTTAAACAGATACATTTAATTCTTTAATCCGAATACAGCAAACCTTGAAAGACAGTGAAAGAAGCGAATAAATCATAGTACAAACATTTCTAAGAGTAAAAGTTATATCAGTCTTACCACTCGTTACTCGTTACCATTCTTAATTCTCATCCTTAGTCCATGGCAAATGAAATATCTCTCTTTTGTATCAAGGAGTTTTGGATCGTCGTCGTGGCCCCAGGGGGCTTACCCTCTAGTAAATAATAATAATGGTTATATTATATTGACTTTTAGTTGGAAACGATCATTTTGACCTGGTCATGCTAAAAAAGCCAAGGCTACGGATACAACTGGCAGCCCACGTACTCTCACCTGCTCCGAAAAATATGAACCATTTCGTACGACGACTTCAAAAGGTACGAGACGACACAAACGTAACGAGAGTCTCGTTACGAGACCAAGCAATCGATTGTACAAACAACCACTGATGCCCTGCTTTTCACACCTCCTGTGATCTTCTTTTCCAGCGCCAATTTCACCTTTTTTCCTCATTGTCCAGTTCCAATTTTCACAATTTTCCCGCTTTTCACGATCCCAAAGCGGCAAAAGAAGGCGTAGCCGTGCACTCCAAACCGGGATTGGAAGCTGGAACTGAAAGAGAGCGATGCATGTAAAAAATACACGCTCATTCCAGGCTCTCCTGCTGCTGCTCTTACTTACATACATATACAACATACATATGCTCTCCCGCTGCTCTGTCTAATTGCTCTGCTCGCTTTCTGCTCCTCGTCTTTCTCCCACTCATACTGCCAAAGAAGAGAGTGCCTTGGAGAGAGGTTTGTGTGCAGAGAGGCTTAAAGTGGGCTCTTCTTCTCTTCCTGGTTGCTCGTTTTGTCTGATCTTCTCCGTCTCGAAGTGCAAAAACAATAGCAACTTCTTTTGTGAGTGCTCCTCGTATCCTCAGATCTTACTCCAGCGTGAGTTATTTATATTGTTAAAGATCTTAGAAATCGTAGGAGTAAGAACGGGGTACCGCTTGAAAGATATACATATGTTATTAAAACTCATCAGAGAACATATTGGTGATGAGCTTCGTTTCTGTTCAAAATCTGTTCAAAATGCTTAAATAGAGTCATCCCAAAAAATCACTGCGTTCGCTTCGATTGCTAAATTTGAATAGTTATCTGCTTAATATGATATCTTGAATATTTCCAAAAATTTACTCATTATCGCTTAAGCGATTCTTAAAACATGTATACCAAACAAGTATTATGTACCAAAGTCGATTATTATATTATTCGTTTTAGCATTTAAACACCTCAATTAATCAATTAAAAAGATTTCTAAGATGCTCTAAATACATATTAGTTTTAATAAATCATTCGAGTGTGTTTAGAATTTACATTTAAGCTCCTTATGAAACACAATCTCTGTAGCTAAAGTATTTGTGGTTATATTTTTGTTTTAAGGGGGGTCAAAATCGAGTGTTAAAATGCTAATCCTTCTGGATATTACGGATTTGAAAATGCTCCAAATTTTTTTGCGGCATGAGGCACATCTTCATATCGCTGGCCAAATGGAATGCCGCATTGAAGGCGGCCATGGGCGATACAGGAGCTGCCTTTTCGGCCGGCATCAGAAATTTGGCAGCCCCGGCGTACGTTTCCTTCTTTGGTCCGAGAGAGGAGGGTATCGATGCCTTATCGACACGTTTGAGGCAATGTTTCTCGATCACAGACTTGCAGCAATCCTGTAGACTCATCACCGTCATTTTGGTGTCCTGTAAAAAATTATATCTTAGAAACGCTTTTGAATGGTTGGTCCTTTAAAGACCCACCTGCTTTTTTGGACCCCCAATTTCGGCGGCTGTCTCAACGATTGAATGCACATTCATCTTATCCATGGTATTTGTTTAATGAAACTTTAAATTAAATACAAATAAATAATAATTATCAGAATGAGTGCAATTTCCATTGTCAGTCGTTTTATAGCCCATTTCTGACAGGCTCAGTATGGTCACACTGTTCCTTTTTTAGGGAACAGCTGATCCGTGAATGTGCAAATCTCTTCTTGGCGGACTCGACTATTAACCCGCATACACGAGTGGGTCAGTGGCCTAACAGATCAACGTAAAAAAAAAGGTTCAAGGCAACTTTTACATGCAAAAAGCAGCACCATACAAATTCTATATCAAAGGGTTCGCTTCTTCCGAGCCTCAATCGGAGGAGCCATGCCGCAGGAGGAAATACACATATTTATTAATTAACCATTATATCCGTTGGACTGGACCGGACTGCCTTCTGACTGATGACTGGGGATGATGCTGCTTCTGGGGAGGCTGTAGCCTGTAGCCTGTAGCCGACTGCTAGCCCATTGATGATAAATGGCTGTCTGAAGTGCAATTTGCATGCGAGTCGAACAAAAAGGCGAGCAGGAGCAGCCAGGGGGGGTATAGAAAATCAGCGGCCAGCATTGATGCCATTGAGAGGCGGACACAAAACATCAGCGGACAAAAGGGGCAGTACGGGATGGCGGGCTGGCCAACCTGTCCGTTGATGAGCATCATTATGCCAAAGTGCGGAAAGGAAGCACTGCCTGGGACATGACATGGCTGTCCGTCGGATCACCGGGCCCGGTCCCGGCCCTGAAGAGTTGACAATTATGACAGGCGCTGGGCAGACAGTCGACATGCGCCGACTCTTCTCTTCTCTTCTGCTGATGCTGCTGCTGCTGATGATGTTTCTGTTGCTGGAATTAACGCCATTTTAATTGAATTTTAATATTTCACTCACGACTCCACAGACGGAAGTGGCAGTGCGGCTGCTGGCTGATGGCTGCCACAAGGGCCACCTTCTGGGTGGGACAAAACCGCAAGTAAAATGCGAGGAGTAGGCAGACCAGCAATAACTGCCCAATGAAATAGCCATTATGGAAATCTGTTGCCACTTTTGGTCCCCACAATGGATAATGACGTATTAAATTTTCGGATCTGCACACGACACACGGAGCCACGGACACACGACACTAAAAACCCTCAATTGCCTGGCAAAATGTGTTTAATGAAGAGCTAAATAATTATATTATTCAACATAATTATCCACATATGTATTTGCCTGTGTGTTGGTGTGTCCGATGACACGACAAGAATTTTCTGGCCACAGCAAATCTGAAAAATACTCGAAAACTACTTACCCCAAAATATTTGCACGGTCCCGTGAGCAAAACTTGAACCAAATTGAACTTTTCACTCAATGAATATTCGGAAACTTCTGTAAAATAATTGACAACTTTTCTTCACACAAATTGTCGCAAAGCTGCCAGCCTTCTAAAACCAGAACGGTTTCGATCAAACTATCAGTAAGGGTATCGTTAATCAGTAACGAAAATAGTGTCTTATGACATTAGACTGGCTAACTCCCGCGCTCTAACTCCGGCTCATTTTCTCGGTGAGAGTGAGAGACATAAATGCTGGGAGCCTCTGCTTCTCTGCGGCCTAAATGATCGAATGTTACACTTTTCCGATCCAATTTTGCATCCTTTTGGAGGCCTGTCTGGAGGTTGGTCTCACGCTCTTCAATTCAAGCTTAGTGGCACACGGCCATAACCTAACTGCCATCTATGTAGTGCTAGAAAATGTGAAAGCAGTGCTGATTCCGTGTGTTGGTAAACAAAAAATTTCTGCGCTCTCGATTTGTTTTATTCTGTGCCTTTCTTTGTTAATTTTGCTATTAAAACCACTAAAATGAATGCTGGACGCAAGGATCAAGAGCAAGCTCAAGCGGTAAGCCAGAAGAATAGCAGCGCACATATGTTTAATCATTATCTAATTGTTTTCCATGACAGGCCGCTGCCCAGTCCGGTCTGAGGCCATCACGACCACCCACTTTCGATCAGCGCATGCAGGCAGTGGAGGAGGGAATCGAAAAACTGGCTGAAATGATCGAGGATTACAAGAGATGTTACCGATCGACTGAACCCGAACCGCAGGCCAAGACGCCGAAGCGCAAAGCAGCGAATGCACCAGTGAATGCACCAGCGAATGCACCAGCGAGTGCACCAGCGAATGCACCAGCGAGTGCACCAGCGAATGCACCAGCGAGTGCACCAGCGAATGCACCAGCGAATGCACCAGCGAGTGCACCAGCGAATGCACCAGCGAATACTCTGGGAAAAAAAGCAACGAATGCAAACGGCAAGGAGCCCCAAGTGAAGAAACCAACGAGCACCAAATCCATGGCACCGACCAGCTACCAAGCCATGGTACAGCCAAAAATCGAAGCCTCACTGACAATGGACCTCACACCAACCATCAAAGCCATTGAGAAGATGTGGCAGCCGAAGCACCAGGTGCAACCAAAGAAGATCAAATTAAGCTCCCAATCTGAGGCACCATTGAAGATCAGACTGGAACTGGAAGGCTCTGAGGACATGGCGCCACCGAAGACAGAATCCGTGGAATCGACTAGCACCCAGACTATGGCACTAAAGAAGATCAAAGGAAGCTCCCAATCTGAGGCACCACTGAAGATCAAACTGGAACTGGAAAGCCCAGAGGGCATGTCGCCACCGAAGATAGAATCCGTGGAATCGACTAGCACCCAGGCTATGGCCAAACTGGAACTGGAAAGCCCAGGGGGCATGTCGCCACCGAAGATAGAATCCGTGGAATCGACTAGCACCCAGGCTATGGCCAAACTAGAACTGGAAAGCCCAGGAGGCATGTCGCCACCGAAGATAGAATCCGTGGAATCGACTAGCACCCAGGCTATGGCACCAAAGAAGATCAAAGGAAGCTCCCAATCTGAGGCACCATTGAAGATCAGACTGGAACTGGAAGGCTCTGAGGACATGGCGCCACCGAAGACAGAATCCGTGGAATCGACTAGCACCCAGTCTATGGCCAAACTGGAACTGGAAAGCCCAGGGGGCATGTCGCCACCGAAGACAGAATCCGTGGAATCGACTAGCACCCAGGCTATGGCCAAACTGGAACTGGAAAGCCCAGGAGGCATGTCGCCACCGAAGATAGAATCCGTGGAATCGACTAGCACCCAGGCTATGGCACCAAAGAAGATCAAAGGAAGCTCCCAATCTGAGGCACCATTGAAGATCAGACTGGAACTGGAAGGCTCTGAGGACATGGCGCCACCGAAGACAGAATCCGTGGAATCGACTAGCACCCAGGCTATGGCCAAACTGGAACTGGAAAGCCCAGGGGGCATGTCGCCACCGAAGATAGAATCCGTGGAATCGACTAGCACCCAGGCTATGGCCAAACTGGAACTGGAAAGCCCAGGGGGCATGTCGCCACCGAAGATAGAATCCGTGGAATCGACTAGCACCCAGTCTATGGCCAAACTGGAACTGGAAAGCCCAGGGGGCATGTCGCCACCGAAGATAGAATCCGTGGAATCGACTAGCACCCAGGCTATGGCACCAAAGAAGATCAAAGGAAGCTCCCAATCTGAGGCACCACTGAAGATCAAACTGGAACTGGAAAGCCCAGAGGGCATGTCGCCACCGAAGATAGAATCCGTGGAATCGACTAGCACCCAGGCTATGGCACCAAAGAAGATCAAAGGAAGCTCCCAATCTGAGGCACCATTGAAGATCAAACTGGAACTGAAAGTCGAGGACTCACGGCAAAAAGACGATGATCCAGCCAATAATTCCATTTAGATGTTGCAGCACGAGTAATCGGTTGAACATTTTAACCAAGAGAACCCCTTCGACAGGGCACAACTGAAGAAGGGACACGTGAATTTTTCTTTTTATTAGACACTATGAAAGTGTGATGAGGATGGTCGAAAACTAGAGACCTGTTAAAGACTATTAGTTCTATAAATGAAGTAAAACCTTTAATCATTTCTATGTGCTCATTTTTCCAGATGAAGACACTAAATTAATTTCTATAATTTCCAGAAAAAACACACCCAGTCTTAGATATACTTACATATTTACATATCAACCAAAATTGAGTGCCAAAACCTATTTTCAAACTAATTTGTTAACGAACTTAATCTTTTTCTAAATATAACTATGTTAAAGCGCATACATTTTATGAAATTGTTGTGCCAAGAATTCCCATGTGGATGCATAGAATCATCCGCAGGTTCAATATTGAAATGCTGTATACATATATATAGGCAGGGAGCTGTACGAATACATGATCAAATATTTTGTCACGACCAACAATTTCCGAGTGGCTGCACCGCCCCGCCCAGTGGGGCAGGGCCGGTTCCCATGGCCAAATATTAAATGGCATTGTGACAAAACGCAACGACAACTGCCGGCTACTGAAACTGTCAACTATCGATGGAGGTTGGTGGTGGTGGTGGTGCTGCTTGATGATGATGACGTGTTTGGGAGACGGACCCATGGAAGGACCCCGCTTGCAATCAGATTCAGAGCCAAACTGCAGTTGACAATTTCTTCGTGTAACATGCAAATTTCAACGAATTTCAATCACAATTTCGCCCGCTTGCCCCGCCTCACTTTCTGTGCGCACAGAGTGCGTATGAGCAATGAAAAAGTAATTAAATTTAACAGAACTCGACGAGTGAGAGGCACTGCGGGCGAGTCCTGCCCAGGGCCCAGGGCCCAGGCTAGTTAGACAGCGCTCACACACACAGACCAAAAAAGAAAAGCGATTGGGGGAAAACTGTCATTATTAACGCATTGAAAGCCGTGGCCTGACAGCTGGTGTTCGTTCCCCCCTTCGAAAAAAAACGAAAGAGAATCGGAATAGGGTGTGTAGGGGGGTAGGGAGGTAGGTGGTAGGTGGTAGGTGGCATGTTGACACTTTGCCGAGGACCAAATGACATTTATTGAAATTTCATCATTAAAAGCTGGCACCAGGAAAGAGTCGAGTGGCGTCGATGGGGAAGCCAAACTGTTTGTCAACTTTGCTGCTTGTCGAACTTATTTAAATTCGAATTGTGACACGTGCAGAGAGGGGTGGAGCTGGAGCTGGAGCACATACTAGATTGTCATATCACCCATCATCATCAGAGATGGTTATCGGTAGAGGCGTTGGTTGGGCACAACCCTTCGTTGGCCTCTTCAATCGGGGAAAAATCACTCTTTTTGGCATCGCAAACAACAATTCAGTGAACAGAAAAATATCCCCAAGGAATAGATCAAGCATTTTTTTCCCCCTCCCCCAACCATATTTTTGCATAATTTGCATGGAAAAAGTTTTCAAGTTATGCGTAAGGTGACAGAAAACATCATCATCATCATCATCCCCTCAATGGAGAATGATATGTGAGTTTATAATTTGAATGTAATATGCTTTAGGGCAAATTGGGGGCTGGGGTCTGGGCTTGGATCCATATATAATGCGATAGGAATACATATTTGCATGAGGGTCGATGGCAAAGTTCCAGAATCAGGGGTACATCTAAATTTTCGTTTGATTTCGATTTCTTGGGACCGACTTTTGTGGTTGAATTTTAAGGACCGAAAAGTAAGCCTTTTGTGTGCCTTGCCAAAGCTGTTAGTAATACAAAAATAAGGTTAGATCCCCCTCCTCTTGCCCTACCTGCCACTTTTGACAGGCGTAAGGCGTTAGTATATCGGAAAACTGTAAAATCATTCGGAAATTCCAAGAGACGACGTATTTGCTCTAAATATACAGATAATAGCACGTAAGTTTTGTGATAGTTTTAGCCGCATTCAAGGGCTTGAAAAGTAAAAGACTGGCGTCCCTCAGGCCCCTCTCTAAAATGAGCGAACAGGAAGCAAACGAAGCAAACGAACAGATGGCGACTGGTGGCGACAATCCAGAAGAACCATTGAGCTGCGTGGTTATGCTGAGTAGTTATCTCACCTCCAATTCGACAATAACTCTCAGCGAGTTCCGCAAGTATGGCATCCACGATGGCTACAAGTACGTCCCAAAGGCTAAAGATGTCGTGCCGCCCTATTGTGTAGTGCATTATTTGGCCGAGAAGAACATGAACCTGGCCGTGATAAACGATGTTAAACTCTTTTTGGAAGACAATCCAGAGATTGAGTTTGAATCGACCAACTTGGATGCCGATGCCGCGTCCGATGCGGAGCCTGATCCTTAAGAGCACTGATCCCTGTTCAAACAAGAAGAATAAATGTAGAAAAGTCCAATAAAATTGGAATTAGAATCAATTGCCCACCAGTGGCCCCCTGACTTTGACACTTAAGCGTTGTGTTTGTGTTTCTGTTTGCATCCCCCGAAGACCCCGAGGCGTAGCCCACAAAGCCACCCCCATTAACATTCCCTTGGAATCTTTTTCCATCTACTCCCCACCCTTCTGTCACTTCTTCTGGGGATCTGACCAGCCTGAGGGCGCGAAAAGGCTCGTCTCGACTCGACTCGAGCGAGGACCATGGACCGGGGACCGGGGTTCTAATCAAAAATGCAATGTTTGGCTTGGTTAAGCGGAAATCGGTAGATTGCGTTCGCACAGTTTTCGCTTGTTGATATTAACACATTCCCCCCCCATCGACCCGTTGGCCCATCATCGGCCTTCGAATTGCGTGGGGGATGGCAGGAAAAACAGGGTGGGGGTCGGAGGTGGGTTAATGAAACGTCACAGATGATGATGACGGCGACGTTGGCATAAGATTTCAATGATATGTCAAAACTGAGTGATGCCGGGATGATGGATGGGTGGTCATAACACAGAGTGTATCCTTCCTCGACCACTCTCACCCTTTGCCCCTTTTTGCGCCACCCACCCATGCATCACACGCTTCTACGCATAAATTTACGGAAAATTTTTGGCCAGCTTGAGCCGCATTTACATGGGATTTGCTGCGAGGGGCGAAAGTACGAAAGCGCAGGAATGGGTGGGTGGGCTTAGGTGGAGAAAGGACGCTGGAAGACAAACAAACCCGGCATCCGCTCGGTGGCAATTTCCGTTTTGTCACTTAACGCACATCAAATGCAATTTTCCCTGGGCAAATAACATAATCAGGATAAGGACAGCCACAGCAACAGAAACAGTAGGGGAAAGGGGAACAGGGGAACGGGGGAGCGGGGGAATGGGGTAATGGGAGTAGCATCAGGTGGAACATTTTATCACCTAAAACCGTTTCAATTTGTGCCTTCCATGTACCTACATATTTATTTTCTGCCAAAACCATATTGAAATTTGATTTGTCGCTCGGCAAAGTGCAGCGTTACACCGTATCCCGTGATGTGATGTGATGGATATTTGAGCAAAACTTGCCCGGAAGTGTGTCGACAATTGAATTTGTGCTGGTGCTGCTGCGTGTGCAATTTGCGACAAATTTGATGTGGCACCATCGCCCCTAGGACGCCTTCCTGCATCCTGCCTTCTGCTAGGAGCCCTGCACAGAAGGAGAGGTGGACCATAATTTTTAATGGCATTTTTATATGGAGCGAAAGTGATTTTATTTAGAAGGTGCCACCAGACCTGATATGACCAGACACGAAGGTGTCGCTTTTAATTTATGGTTAAGGCGGGTTGATTGACGGCCGGGAGGGACGGTGCGGGGCGGGAGAACTACTGGATCAGACTATAGTATAATCTCAGAGAGAGCGGCCGAGCTGGAGTGGCTTTTGATTCGTCCGAGCCTTCTTAAACTGATTTGGAAAACAGTCTAAAGCTGAGTTGGCTTAAAAAACGTATGGATTGGTCCAGGTCATGCATTCAACCCGATCTGCAACATTTCCACTCGGATGTAAAGCAAACCGGAAAGGCCACACGGAATGGGGCCAGGGAAAAGTAAAAGCTCAAAAGTAAACGCCTTTGGTTAGTGAAAAGTGAAACAGAAACGCAAACAAATACGACAGCAGACGACTCAGGACCAACTTACATCTGCTGATAAAGAAGGTGGCAGCCAGCAGGAGCCTCTCACCTGGTGGGTAGCAGCTACCGTAGCCCCGTCTCTTTTAATGAAAGATGACAACAACAACATAGACGATAAAAGGTTGTCATTAAAATTGCAGTGGTTGCTGCTGCCGCTGCTGCTGCCGCTGCTGCTGCTGCTGCTTCATTAGAGACTGCGACTGCTCTTTGTTGGGGTGAGTGTGGTGTGCGTGTGTGCGGCGGGAAGCTGACGAGAGGTTGCACATAAAGTAGGTTGGCGTTTTGGGTAAATACAACGGCAAATGGAATGGCGACGCAGCTGTAAAAGTCATTGAATCAAGATGAAAGTGGAATTTCTAATTGAAAGAGACAGTAGAAGGGCAACCATCTTCAAAAGGTTTGAATTGCGCACCAGGGGCTGCCCCACAATCAGAAAATATTGATATCGTTGCCAGACACACAAAAACGTAAGCGCAAAAAGGTTGCCAGACGAGTGGAATATTTTAAAATGACAGTGCTGCCAGAAAGATATATTCACAAGACCCTAATCATATGCAATAATATGTCTAAAACATAACAATCTGAAATAATTTCTATATTAATTACGTTTTAAAACCACTTGGAAAAACAGTTTCTTCATAAAGATCAACGAAATAGGGTATACCTGTGCCCAAACTCCGGTTGACGTGACATTTCATATTCACTTACGTTGCCACTGTTTTTTTGTTGACCTTTTTTGTTTAAACCTTGTTTTATACACTATACAATAAAAGAGAGTACCTAAAAGTACTCAATCAGGTAAAAAATGTATTCATCAATGGTCTTAAATGACATGGGCAGAGCTAAAGGTTTTAGTTAGGCAGCATTATTCAACGGAATAAAGATATTGAACAATTGGAACGATTTTTCTCTTACGTTTTATTACGTTTCAATTGTTCGACCTTTTTCGTTAAAACCTTTTTTCAAGCAAAATCCAAAAAAAGCAAGTATTAAAAATAAGCCAGTTAAGTAGAAAATTGATTCATCAATTGTATAAAATTATGTGGGCATGGCTAAATATTCTATATAGCTAGTAATATTCGACGGAATAAAGAATTGAGCAATTGGAACGATACTCGTTTTTTTATGCTACTGTTGTATGAGCAAAAGTGCCTTGTGCCTCTGCCTACAGTGGCTTCAAATGACAGTAAGTCCTGATGGCACAGGGCACTCCCCAAAAACAGCCGCTGTTCCACGGCTATTCCGTAATTTTCACCTTCTTTGCACTTACAGTTAAAGTCGAGCCACAGAGTCTGCAGTTGCGATGCCAACACAACCTGCGGCGCTCTTTGGCGCAGTTGTGGCCCACTACTCCTGAGACCACCCCGGAGCAACAATCCGACTACAGAGCAGACCACGCTGGATACGGATCTCCCAACGGCCATGAAGAATCTGCGCTGCTTTGCCGACTGGGCCAGTAAGAACCATAGCTAGACTATCACCATGCACGGTGATTACTTCAGGTACGTGTTTGCGGTCAGATCGTTACCTGGAACTTACCCATTATGATGATGTAATGGAAACTGGGACCCACACTGGCTACAGGCAACACCATCTTCCTAAAGCCAGCCGAGCAGTCAATTTGGTGCGGTGTCTGGTTTCGGTAGAGCCGGCGCTTCCCTGGCTAATCACGCAGATGTCGACAAAGTAGCCAATTTATAAACTTATAACCAACACTTATCATAGATTTGGATATATTTTCCTTGATAAACAGCTTTTAGTAGTATCTGGTCACGGAAATCACTTCATTCGATCAAATACAAAAAGAAAAAAAAAAAACAGATTTTAAACTAAAACAAGCGCCTTGAGGGCTCCTTTTCCGCCTCTGAACTGGCATCCACTGGGCGGGCCAGCTCAATGGAGTTGATCCGTATCATGGTATTGGGCGAACGCTGGAAATTGATTCGCATATACTGTTTCCTGCGCTTCTTCCTGAAGTGTGTCTTCGTGTGGGTCAGAGTCTTCTCGACAACGGTGGCCTTCACTGTGACCAGGCCGGACTCCAGGATGGGACGTCCGATCAGGGTGAAGTCGCGAGCCCCGGCCAGCAGTACCTTATCCAGGCTGATCTCGTCGCCTATCGTAGGCGGCCAGTAGCCCTCCACCAGGATGATGTCGCCGGCGGTGATCTTGAACTGTTTTCCACAGAGATGGACCACGGCAAAGAGGCGGCCCTGCTCCATTTTGGCCACCTGTTGATTGACCCTCTCGCAGATGCTCTGGCACTCCTTCTGCTGATCTTTGGCAATGGCTGCCACATCAATCGCGGCGTCGGCGGTGGCAGGTTTGTTTTGTTGCCACAAAGCCGGTGCCAGACTCAAGGAGCGCATGGCGCCTGGGAGGGGGAGAGACGCATAGGGAATGGTTATGTCATATTGTTTGGAGTTTTTATTTATGCTGCACTTACCCGTCAGCGCAGAAGATCGTGTCGGGGCCTGGCGCAGCACTTGGCGCACAGTTTGCGCAAGAAACGACATTTTCTATGTTGGTTTTAACTTAAAAATACATAAAATTGTTCAACGAAAACGGTGGAGGAACGAGTCAGAACAGCTGTTACAGTGTTGTAATCGATAATATTATGAAAAATAACAACAGATGGCGTAATTTGGTCTCTTTCTAGTTCTAGTATATTTGACTATTTTTCAGGTTTACATGCTGATAATTACAACCAATATGTAGCTAATATATAGCTACCGTGTAGCTACCACATAGAAATTAACATTTTTTCTTACCTTTCTTGCTTAAATCGAATTTTAAAAACAATCCAATAAAGCTCCCTTCGTATATTCATCGGTATATTTAAGGTATATTTTGAAAATGAGACCGTATACTCGGTATATTTCTGTCGTATTTTCTAGTATTTTTTAGGGTTCGCTGTTACCGTACAAATATTAGAAACAACGCGGCCCGGCACTAAAACTTCACATTCATATCCTAGGCAACTGGTTTTCACTTTATAAACAATTTGCTAGCAGCCGCATAGAATCAACTAAGATAACTTTCCAGTAATTTCTCCTAAAATAAAAATGACTGAAGCCGAGAAAATCGAAGTACGCGACATAACGCGTATTGAGCGCATTGGAGCCCACTCGCACATTCGCGGACTGGGCTTGGACGATGTCCTCGAGGCACGTGCTGTGTCGCAAGGCATGGTGGGGCAGAAGGACGCTCGCCGTGCCGCTGGCGTCGTTGTGCAGATGGTGCGCGAGGGAAAGATTGCCGGACGCTGCATTCTGCTCGCTGGCGAGCCGAGTACCGGCAAAACAGCCATTGCCGTGGGCATGGCCCAGGCCCTGGGCACTGAGACTCCATTCACCAGCATGTCTGGCTCGGAGATCTACTCGCTGGAGATGAGCAAGACGGAGGCCTTGTCCCAGGCCCTGCGCAAGAGCATCGGTGTGCGCATCAAGGAGGAGACTGAGATCATTGAAGGCGAGGTGGTGGAGATACAGATCGAACGCCCGGCCACCGGCACTGGCCAGAAGGTGGGCAAGGTCACCCTGAAGACCACTGAGATGGAGACCAACTACGATCTGGGCAACAAGATCATCGAGTGCTTCATGAAGGAGAAGATCCAGGCCGGCGATGTCATCACCATTGACAAGGCATCCGGCAAGGTCAATAAGCTGGGACGCAGCTTCACCCGTGCCCGGGACTACGATGCCACCGGGGCCCAGACACGCTTTGTCCAGTGCCCCGAGGGCGAGCTCCAGAAGCGCAAGGAAGTGGTCCACACTGTGACCCTCCACGAGATCGACGTGATCAACAGCCGCACCCATGGCTTCCTGGCCTTGTTCTCGGGCGACACTGGCGAGATCAAGCAGGAGGTGCGCGACCAGATCAACAACAAGGTGCTGGAATGGCGTGAGGAGGGCAAGGCCGAGATAAATCCGGGAGTGCTGTTCATCGACGAAGTCCACATGCTGGATATTGAATGCTTCTCGTACTTGAATCGTGCCCTGGAGTCGGACATGGCTCCGGTGGTGGTGATGGCCACCAATCGCGGCATCACACGCATTCGCGGCACCAACTACCGCAGTCCCCATGGCATACCCATCGATCTGCTCGATCGCATGATCATCATACGCACCGTTCCCTACTCGGAGAAGGAGGTGAAGGAGATCCTTAAGATTCGCTGCGAGGAGGAGGACTGCGTCATGCACCCGGATGCCCTGACCATCCTGACACGCATCGCCACCGACACTAGTCTGCGCTATGCCATCCAATTGATAACCACGGCCAACTTGGTTTGTCGCCGTCGCAAGGCCACCGAGGTCAACACCGAAGACGTCAAGAAGGTCTATTCGCTGTTCCTGGACGAGAATCGTTCCAGCAAGATCCTGAAGGAGTACCAGGACGACTACATGTTCAGCGAGATTACCGAAAAGGAGGAGGACTTTGGCATTGGCGGTGGCGGTGGGTCCAAGCGTCGCCTGGATATTGGCGGCGGCGATGCCGAGGCCATGGAGCATTAACTTAAGTCCCCTAGCATCCTCCCAGTACATTCTAATTTCTATTGATATTTCTAGTTTTTTGTTCAATAAATAAGTCTTCGCCTTGTATCTAAAAATAAGGTAATTGCGTTTATTTCGTGTTTCTCCTGCTATCAATGAAGATATGCACATTTCGCAAAGGTCTCTCCCGGTCTCTCGGTCTCCTCCGACAGGATGTTCCGTGGGCATGTGAAAATATATATAGTACATGTATATATGTATGAATCTTTGCGTATGGTATAAAATTGTCTTTATAGCTTAGATTTAAGTCTCGTCGGGTGGTGTTCGTTTAAGATGGCTGCAGGATAAGCAAACAAAATAAGAAATAGTTACGACTCCTCCGGACTATCATACAAGTGGGCATTAAGAAGTCTTAGATGGTGAGCGGGGCTTGGTTAGTTACTAATTGAACGAACATTTGCTGTGTCAACACTTATATAATTTACAAATCTATAGGTATCATATTACATATTTAAGACTCTGCAGTGCGCTTCGGGCAGTATAAGACAGCTGTCCCATTCTTTATGAAACACACTGCGTGTGTATTTTGGGGATAAGTTCTCCTCTCCTTTGACTAGGCAATCGAATCGATATTTGCGTGTGTTTTTGTGTTTAACAAATCTCCGTTTACAGTGGCATATTATTTGGTAGGAAACTACTTGATTTGGTTAGTAGATTAATAAAAAGAATATGGATCCATCATTAGTACTAATTCCAAACAATGTTCGTGAGGCAAAAACTAAAAACTCTTCGTTTCTACTGAGTCTTCTTCCCGCCGGTGGCGTCGGCACTGCTCTTGCCGCCGAAGCGCGACAAGTACAGATAGCTCTGATAGAAGGCTGCCCAGATGAGTAGCCAGATGAAGCCATAATAGTTCACGGCTTCAAAGACTACGATCCAGCGCTCGTACTTGAGGAACACAAAGGATGCCAGACACCAACCCATGTAGACGATGTTGTAGGACTTCAGGGTGGCGAAGTACAGAATTTTGTAGACATCCGAGCTGTTCAGGAAGTTACCATATCGGGGCAGGACAACCTTGTCGTAGAAGTTTGTGATCTGAAAAAAGGGAATGCTTAAATTTGGATCTAAAGATCATGAGAGCCTCACTCACCTGCTTCTCTGTGCTGACAACCATATACTCCATGAGGAAAGCCATGTAGTAGCCACTGTGATAGCCATGCCAGATGGCCAGGAAACCCAGGGCCGCTCCATAGCTGATCGTGCGATTGTTGAGGAACTTCAAGCGCTTGTATATATACTGTCCCACCCACTGGTTCGTGTTCACATTGAAGCTCTGCACATAGTGCTCCATGGTGTTGCCCGTTTCCAGCAGGACCAGCTTCACATTGCTGCAGCCAGACCAGTCGGGCTCGCCATGCTCATCCGTGCCCTTGTAGGTGAAACCAATGTAGATGAGGGCGCCCTCGGTGAGGAGCCAGCACGAGATGTACTTGTACAGGCTGAACTTTGCCCAAAAACCGAGCAGGTAGATCCGCTTGATGAATCCCACCTTGGCGAACTCTGGGCTAAGGAAGTACGAGTCGGGCAGGACGCTCAGTCCCACCTGACAAACGATTAGATAGAACACGCCAGCAGCCAGGCGACGCATGCCCGCCTCCACATTGCCCTCGTGCCTTCGGTAGTCTCCGTTGATAAAGTTCTGGTAGCGACGCATGGGAAACTGAGGTCCTATCAGGAAACCGCTGGGGAAGTACGCGAATGCCAAGAGCTCCAAAAGCGATGGCACCTGCGGCAGAGCAGTTTCCTTTTGTTCCTTGGACAGAGCCTCATTTGACTTGAGACCGTCGGAGATGTCGAAGCCGAAGCCAATCATGCGCAGCACCAAAATGCAGTGCGGCATCGTCCACAGAATGTCATACTCGTTGCTGGATGTGTAAAAGTAGCCAAGCAGCAAGTAGGTCATGTGGAACGCGAAGTTCAGCCCAATCAAAAGCTTGATGTTCTGTCGCAAGAACAGGACCAGCAGATATGTTACGAGAATGCCCAGCAGCGAGTGATATGTGCCGACGCCGTAGTTGAAGTAGCAGAGGCCAGCTCCACAGGTGAAGAAGAATACGTGATGCAGCATCTTCAAGGGTAAATCTGCAACATATTTGGTGTAGAGCGCAGCGATGGGATAGCCTGGAAAGGAGAGAGAGACAAAGAAGTTAAATTTGATAAATACTAACCGATCGGAATACTCACCAGCCATAAGTGTTAGTAGAAGACGCAGTGCCTCCGTCGATACGCCCCCTAGCTCGGCTATGGAGCCCATCAGCCCCGCATCGGGTGAGTCCTCCAAACTTTCAGTCATGCTAAATCTGGGCAAAGAGTTAACAAACGTAAGGGCTCTTATCAGTTATAGTTATGGCTGGGATTCACTCGCGGTGTTTAATGGTTCAATGTGCCCCCAGGCTTATCACATTTAATTGTTATTGTTGTATATTACGCAAACTGATTGTTTCCTGATCGCTGAGAGCGGGAGAGTGGGAGGGCGAGAGCGATGCAATGCAGAGAGAAGCGAAGCAATAAAATCGAGCGCACTTGGTCAGGGTCAGTGGAAATCGATGCCACAACCAGTGGCTATTGGCTACTACAATGAATGACGCACTTGTGGTCTGGCCGCCGAAGGCTTGAATGTTTTATACTTATTGATTTGCAAACCAACCTAAAACAAGTAAGTGTATTTGTGACAACCAATTCTACGTAAACCTGTGAATGACAAGTGGAAAAAGTAAACAGAAGATTTTCCTTCCTCTCTAGGTTACACACCTTGCATTCTAGTATATTTTGTTTAGTATTTTTGTGCATTTTCTGATATGTTTAAGCATTTTCCAGTATTTATGAATTCACCTCGTTGTGCTAACACACCAATGAACAAATCGTGTAGTTATACACGGCAAGATTATTTTTGTTGAACTCCCTTTTTGTTTAAACCTTATTTTATGAACAATCGAATAAAAGGGATTACTTAAAACTATCCAATTTTGTATAATATTGAATAATTTATCGGATAAAATTACATATTCACTGCTGAGTGTCCCAACTAGCTAGTAAGACTAAACAGAATATAAAAATCGAGGAATATCATTTGTGGGGAAAGCAAAAATAACGACTTAGGTAAAATTCTTCATATTTAGTTCGTTGTTTCGAAGAGTGACAGACAGATAATACTAGGCCAAATTAAATGTATTTCATTTGAGTCATAGTAAGCCAAATTGAGTGTCAAAAGTCAGGTCAGAAGGCCACTGGTGGGCAAAAAAAGCAACAGCCTTCATATTTGCTTCGCCTCTGGGTAGGCGTCTTCTTCGTTTACGTGTCACTTTAATTTAAATTTCTCCCTCTCCATTAGGCCGTCAAGAGTAAATAAGTTAATGCAAAACTGGCACACACCGGGAGCAACATGCGACGCACCAACAACTATCCTTACCAACCGCTGAACCAACAGCCATCTGGTCCCAGTCCGGCTGGTCATGATGCGCTCGAGGCGGAGAACGAGCGCGCCGCCGAGGAGCTCAAACAGAAAATAGGCGCCCTCAAGTCCTTAACCATTGACATTGGGAACGAAGTGCGCTACCAGGATAAGCTACTGCGTGGCATTGACGACGACATGGATCGGACATCGGGGTTCCTGGGCAACACAATGACGCGAGTCGTCCGCCTGGCCAAACAGGGTGGCGGGGCCAAACAGATGTGCTACATGTTCCTCTTTGTGCTTGTGGTGTTCTTGTTGCTCTGGCTGACGCTAAAGTTCAAATAATAGTCGGCCGCTGTTACTTTCTAAAATATATACTAACAATCTTTATTAATTAATGGAGCAAAGCTTTGTTCAAAGTACAAAAGATTTACACATGCACGCATTAAGGTATAGTTGGAGGATTTGGTGGTGACGGAGGGACGCACTTCGGACTCGATGCCCATCTGATGATAATCCACATAATTTCGTGGGGCCTTATAGCTAATATGATAATTCACATAATTGGCAGCTATGCGTGGAAAGTTTTCATCTTTTTGTTGCGCCTACTGGAATCTGGCAGTTCTAGATCCTCGTCCTCTACGTCGTCACTGCACACATCATCCTCGCTCAGGAGATCGGGGTAGACATCACCATTCATGCCACCTTCCATGGCACGAACTGTTGGAAAAGAGTCAGTGTTAGTGTGTTGCTTGATGCGGAGATACATCTTCGAACACTTACTCTGCTGATCCAGTAGGATATTCTGTTTCTTGATCTCGTCAATGTCTTTTTGATTTTCATTGATTTTCTTCCTCATCGTCTGTATGCATTCCGTGGTCCTCTTGAGTATCTGAGCACGACTAGCCTGTGGAAAAGTCTGATACAATTACAGGCTCGAGTGATTCACCCAACTGTTGCGCTCACCTTCTCCCCCTTCAGCGTGGGCACTGCCTCCCGCAGGTTGGTGAAGCTCTCCTTGATGTGGTCTCTTCTTCGCCTCTCCAGCGCATTATGATGTGCTCTCTTCTCGGCCTGTAAATATTTATTTAAGAATATTTCGGTGTGGTCAGTGAAGGTGGAAGGGGGGGACGGGGGATTTGTTAAGGCCAACAACTACATGTGCGTGTTGTTTATCAACAAAAGACAACGTGCGCAGGTGCAGGGTATATTAAATGGAAGGTTAGGCAGTCTAACATCTCTTTCTAGCTGTCACACAACGAGAACAAATTTCTGTGTGTCTGCGAGACGGAGGGCCAAGGTTAGGCTACCTTCTTGCTAATATACCCTGGGCATTGCCTCTTTCTTCCCTTTATAGCTGTTACCTGTGTAAAATTTGCTGTATTCGTGTGACGAGACGAGCCCAACCCCGTATCCGAGTCGCCATCGTCCTGGAAGATATGAATTAATGTTGTACAACTTTGTATGCATATATACATTAGGTATACATATACATCTGTTTATATGTACTTTAATGTAGTTTACAATTGCTTACGTCACTCTCAATATCGATATCTCTGTCGTCATCGCTCATACTCATGGCTGCACAGTTGTTGCCTAGCCGAAACACAGACGCACTTGATTAACTGTATTCGAGAGAAGGGGCGAAGATTGCGAACAATACTGCAACTGTTTGTTGTGTTGTTGTTCTTAACTGTAATTGTCAGAGTTTTTTTGTTGTTGCTTCCAGCGCACGTTCTTCGAAATGAATGCGGTCGCGGTGAATGGCAGGGCTGGATAACCACCGAAACTAGTGGTTTCAAGTAGTTCGGTAATGAACAAACAACAATGACCTTTTTAGAACCGAAATAATCCTAAAGTGGCTTGAAAATGGTAATACCATACGTAATACAAATAATTACTAAATGTAATTAGAAAAGTTAGTAAACAGGTACAAAAAAACATACGAAATAAGAAGCTTAGCAGTTCGAGGAACCTGTTCCGTAAACCAGTTCACAGTTCACAAAGGCTGCGGTGTTCAAAGAACATAGTTTTCATTTCTTTCTTCATTTTCTCAGAGAATTTTCACTTATTTCATGGCTTTTCCGACAACAAGTGCACAGCAAGCCGAAACAAACCGAAAGATACTCGAGGACATCCAGACCAAAAAGCAGCTGCTTGCTGGCGGGATAATTAACCTGGGACTGAGCAACACAAATCAAGTGCGCACGTCGATTTCTCCAGAGGATTCACGTATTTTTTACTAACAATTATTCTCAATTTATGTAGATGCCCTCTCCTCAGTTGCTCGGCCAGCCGACAGTAGCACCTGAATTCCTACCGCAGGGCGTGGGCTTACCCACAAATGCCACGCCGCCCCGATCCGCATTTAACCCTACCAGTTCCACCACTTTGGGCTTCTTTATCCCCCAAGATTCGTATTTTGGAAACAGCTTCATTCCCGTGCTTCCTCGCCTGGAGCCCTTACCGACGACCACAGCCCCGGCCACGACGACGGCCAGCCACATCGCACCCAAATAACCGAACTCCCATAATTAAACATGGCCCGCCTTAAGCTGAAGAAACTGGAGGAGTATTTGCAGTGTGTCGATGGATTCGAGAAGCCGAAGATCATGCTGGAACAGTATCCAACGCCTCCACACATAGCAGCATGTATGGTACATCATATGCAGGCCCAGCATGATGATATCGAGGGAAAATTCGTCGGAGACCTGGGCTGCGGCTGTGGCATGTTGAGCATAGGAGCCACTCTGCTGGGTGCCCAGCTGACTGTTGGCTTTGAGCTGGACGGAGATGCTGTTGACATCTACAGGAACAATGTGCAGGAAATGGAGCTGCCCAATGTGGACTGTGTGCGGGCGGATGTCCTGCAGCTGCCGGGGAGCAAGTGGGAGAAAACTTTCGACACAATCGTTATGAATCCGCCCTTTGGGACCAAGCACAATGCCGGCATGGATATGAAATTTCTGGAGGTAGGTCTGCGATTGGCTACAGGAGCAGTCTATTCATTGCACAAAACCTCTACACGGTAAGTGGATGTCATGTGGTATCCCATCTGTTTTAGTGATTCATCTCGGTTCTCTTTTGACAGCGCTTACATCCAGAAGAAGTCCGAGGAGTGGGGAGCCAGCGGCTCTGTGGTGGCCGAACTAAGGTACAACATCGAGGCCAGCTACAAGTTCCACAAACGTCAGTCAAAGGACATCGAGGTGGATTTCTGGCGGTTTGATATTAGCGGCAAGGATTAGCCTGCGCAGCGTATGCATTTTCTTTGGACATTACATTTATTTATATTATTAAAAAACTTTAAATAATAGAGGAAAGAATTCAAACTCAACTCTTATCTCTCCTACTCCACATTGAAAACGACGCCCTGGGCGCAGGCCAGTTCCCCGGAATGGTTGACCGTGATTGTTGCCCGCTTACAGTACTGCTTCCAGGCATCCGAGCCCGACTCTCGACCTCCGCCGGTGGCCTTCTCTCCACCGAACGCTCCACCGATTTCAGCTCCATTTGTGGTGGTGTTTATGTTTACGATGCCGCAGTCGGAGCCCCTGGCACCGATCCACTTGAACGCCTGACTGATGTTCTCGGTAAAAATGGCCGACGAGAGACCCTGCTCGACTTCGTTGTTCCAGGAGATGGCCTCGTCCACACTCTTCGCTTTCAGGACATACACGATGGGGGCAAACGTTTCGCGATGCACAACGCTGGCATCGTGCGGCAGACCCGTGATGACAGTGGGCTCCACATAGTATCCCGATCGCTCCAGGACTTTGCCGCCAAAAGCCACAGTTCCGCCCAAGGCCTTGGCCTCCTCAATGGCGGTCTTATAGCTATCGACGTTCTGCTGGGTGTGCACGGGGCCCACCAACGTCTGCCCATCCAATTGGTGTCCAATTTTGGGTATCAGATGCTTGTACTTGGCCACCAAGGACGTGACAAACTGGTCATGCAGTTGTTCGTGGACAATGATGCGCCTGGTGGTGGTGCAGCGTTGTCCGCTGGTGCCGATGCAGCCAAAGAGAGCTGCATCCAATGCCATTTTCAAATTTGCCGACGAATCGATGATCAAAGCATTGTTGCCGCCCAGCTCGAGGATCACCTTGCCGAAGCGCCGCTGCACCTCCACGCCCACATCTTGGCCCGTTTTGCAGCTACCCGTAAAGGAAACCAGATTGACGCGCTTGTCAGACACCAACGATTGGCCAACATCGGTTCCTCCCTGGCAGAGGGTCACGACGGGTGGCAGATTGTTGCGACGCAGAACTTCGGCAACGATTTTGGTGGTGGCCACCGAGACCAGGGGCGTGCTGGGAGCTCCCTTCCAGAGCACACTGTTGCCGGTGGTCAGAGCAATGGCGGCATTCCAGCCAAATACGGCATTGGGGAAATTGTAGGCGGAGATCACACCGACCAGTCCAAGCGGTCGCCAAGCCTCAAGAATCGTATGGTCGGCCCGCTCCGAGTTGATCAGTTGGCCCGAGTAGATCCGCGACAGACCCACGGCATAGTCGCAGATGTCGATGAATTCCTGCACCTCGCCCTGACCCTCGCTGTAGATCTTGCCCACCTCCAGGGAGACCAGCTTTCCAAGGGGCTCTTTGTACTTCCTCAGCTCGTCGCCGATTTGCCGAACGATCTCGCCACGGACTGGGGCGGGGACCTGGCGCCACTGCTTGTAGGCCTCCACGCCCAGGCCGATGGCCTGTTGCAGCTCCTGCACAGTTCCCTGACGCACTGTGGCAATGGCTTGGCCGGTGCCAGGATCGTAGCTGGTGATGGTCGGGCCACGCCCCTGCCACTGGCCCGAGTAGACGCCGGGATTGTTGATCTCCAGGCCAAGCTCCTTAAGGAAACCGTACTCCGGCTGGTCGATCAGATAGGATGTGGATGCGGAGGAGGCCAGGCGGCTGTGTCCGCGACCGGCCAGCCTCGAAAAGTGTCTCAAATGTGCGATCATGCTGGAGGAGAGCGAGATTTATGGATTACTGATTACGCCCTGATACGCCGCTTATCGAGCGATAGGCAGCTCCGCCCGGTTTCAGCTTGTTTACTGAACAATTTTTCGTGGTCTGACTGCTAGGCCCACACACCCCCAGCAGAGGGGCCCATCCACTGATAGCATCCCACTTAATACTCACATTGTGTGCCCAAAGTGTCGTCGTATCCTCGTCTGCCCACGTCGCTGGTCAATTATCAACTAAATGCGCCGAGTGCTTGACGACCACCTCTCTGCCGGCTGGTCATTAAAGTGGCAGCTTATCTCTAGAGTAAACTGAATTAAATGTAAAGAGAGGAGAACGGCAAAGAGTCAAGGGTCTTATCAGCTTCATATGTATGTACTATATATGGACAAAGTATGTATGCCTGGATGGATGCATGTACAATAATGATATACAATTCTGTAGAATACAATTAGGCGGTAACTAGGGGCTATATTATTTGAAAATATTTAAGATATAATAAGGAAATACACTCACAGAAAAATGGCATGGTAATACGAAAAACACATTCAACAGGAGTGTCTCTCTGTCATCTCTGAATGTCATTCGCACACGGCACGATTAAGAGAGAGAGACGGAGAACTAAGTTTGTTTGTTCATTCTGGCTATAATCCGATCTGGTCCAGCTTCCGGTAGTGTAGTCGAAATTGTCCTTCTATGCGATTCTGCGTTTTAGGTTTTTTTTGGTATCTTCTGTGGATGCCACAGATTTTTGTCTTTTGTGGGGGCAGAAGGAAGCGGGCGAAATTTCGAACTCACAGGAGTCTGAATACAGAATTTGGTTGCTCTATATCGACACGGCTTTATGGGGTCGAAACATATCCACCACAAAATATCCCTAAGCTCCTCGTGTACCGGGTATGTAAGAAAGCCAACAAAAATAACGATCAGCTCAACAGTGGAGACAAGTCACATGATAGAATGATAGACACAGCCAGCAAGGGATCATAGACTGATAAAAATCTCTTAGTCATGAACAACCCAAGTACTCAAATGTTCTAATGTGCACTAATTCGTGCGCTTCGTTTATCTCTATCCTATGACCTATTTAATTTGAATTTTTTGAATTTTAAAATATTTTTATTCCGCTACAAATGTTTCTCTCTCTCACACGTTTCATACAACAACACCAGTTATATTGCTTTCTCGCTTGTTTCCGCCAGTGGCCCACACTGCACGAGAAAAAAAGAGAGAGAATGAGGCATTGCCGATGGATTTGTTCATTCTAGCTATAATAATGATCCGATCTGATCTACATTCGGCAATCTGGTAGATATGGTAATATTTGGTTTTCTTGTATCTTCAAAGTTGTGGATGTCATAGACTTTTGTCCTTTGTTTCAAATATTTAGATCATATATCCACTCTCGGTGCAAATATATTGGCATACATTTGGAAATCTATGTGTAGCTTTTCGATACTCAGGTCATTTTTCTCTGGGTTTAATTATTCAAAGATAGTAGAAATAGTTTAGTAGATAGTTTTTACTTTAAAACATAACTGAAACACACGCAAGTACACGATGTTTTCCCTTCTATTCCTTCCTTTTTAAATGCCTCCAACGGTCTGTTACCGTGACAACCTATGAACTCTGCTCCAAATGTTTGTTCGTTAAATAAATGTTCACCCACTTTTTGCTGCTTGAATACTTTTTTCATTGACATCAGAAGTAAAGGAATACCTAAGAAAACAAAATGGAAGTTCTTGAAGAGGGAAATTTAATGGATCGAGTGCCAATACTGCTGCAACGAGATCTAGAGTTTTATCAGGTACCCATTTTACCCACTGGCATTCTTTTTATAAACTATCCCTTACAACATTCCAAAAACACAGACACATCAGCGTGTGCTGCAGGAGCCCATTTGTTCGGGCGTTGTGGGTGGGAAATTGGATTTTCCACGGTATGCTTCCTTTGCGGCGATCAAATTGATACGTTGGTGGGTTTAATTGAAATAGTATTGCTCTACGTTAAATCATAAAGGTTTACATAAACTGTTAAAGGTGGGAGGATGAGTACTTTGCCTCATACCGGAAACACTCGGGACTTCTGCACACCGAAAAGGAACTGAATGAAGGAGATTTTGTAAGATTCGATTGGTAATAAATGTATGTATATCTCCAGTACCTTTGGTTTCCTCTGCAGACCAGTGCCACTGTCAAGGCCTCTGATCCGGACAAGTTCGTTCAACTCGTTTGCCGATCGGCAGACCTACTTCTAGAGCACGTCCATCGCCTATCGCAGGAGTCTCTGGATCATGCTGATCTCTCTGTGCTGACGGCCACTATTGGAGCCGCTGCGCTGGTGAAGAACTCCCTGAGTGTCTACATGCAGGCGGCCACCACCACGATCGTTCCGCCCAAGGGCGATGAGAAGGGCGGAGCCCTCAAGCTGAGTTTCAAGCAATATGCCCAGATGGCGGAGGCATTGGCAGAGCGTCTCCTCGATCTGCACTGTCGCCTTCTGTTGCTGTACATCATGCAAGACGCCGACTGTCTGCATTGGGAGGATACGCAACCTTTCTTTGAGTCGGAGCGAGGCTCCTACACTGTACAGATGTGGTGGCACTATATGCGTGGCTCCAAGACAGATCTGTGGAACTCGGTGCCGCCGAAAATGGCCCAGAAGATCTTTGCCGGAATGCTGAACGAGACGCTCAGTGTGCTGACTGTCCGCTATACCCAGATCGTGACCAGTGTGGCTCGATCGCAGCTGCACTTGACGGACATTTGCAATATGCTGCTGTGCATTGCCGAGCTGCTGCCACACATCTGCGAGAGTGGCGAGGCATATGTGGGTCTGCAGTTGAGCAACCAGAGCGTTATCCTGAGGGACATCCACGCCAAGTGTCGGGAACTCTTCTACTGTCTCTTGCTGCGCGGTGCTCCCTTGGGTGTGCTCTCCAAGGTGAATTGAGAACTCTATGCCTATGAAAAGAGACTCTGAATTGCCTCTGTTTGCAGGTCTTTCGCAAGGGTCTCGACAACATGGAGATGTTTAGCTCTCGCCATGGCCTGCCCAGTGCATGGATTATATTTGCCTTACCGCGATACTTTCCCAAGGAGCAATCCTGTCAATGGGTCACGGAATTTGCTGATCTCACAACCAACACCGCCATTTCTTTGGACCTGAGAGTTCTACTTGCCTTTCCTGAGGCAGATTGGTCCTTTCTGCTTAAGATTCTGCTGATGAGAGACGCCTTCCTCACTGGCATCATAATACGACATCTGATGCAGCATTTACCGTCCTCCGAGAACTTTAAGAATGTGGCCAAACATTCCTTCACCAGTGCCGAGGGGGCACCACCAAAGTGCGAGGCGTTTCTGTGCCGCGGGGAGTGCTTCAATGTCACCGAGTCCATAGCAGACGATATAGGTGAGTAATTGAATGAAACTCAATTGATTCCTGGAATACGGATACACATATAATTTCAGATCCCGTGGGACAAGCCAACTATCAGATTGTCCTCTCCCTAACCTACTTAGTCGTGGCCGTTGGCAAGGCGGTGGACATCAAGTCCTGTCTGATCAAGACCCTCGAGGAACATGCCATTGCGGGCTGGAGCGACTGCCTGGACAAGCGCCAGGTGTGGAACCAGAAGCGCACTCCCTGGCTGGAGGCCATCATGCATTTTGTATATCCCGTGCTCGACTGCGTAGTGGAGATGCTCATCAATGCCGTCGAGAATGGGGCGAGCATGTACCAGGCCATGTCCCTGGCTCTGACTTGTGTCTCCGAGATCTGGGATTGTATACCAGAGGGTCTGTACAAGATTACCTCACTGTTGCAGGACATCATACCGGTTTCGACGCGACCTTTGGGGGATTCGGTGCTGCTGCAGGTGGTCTTTGCTGCTCTCTACACGGAGCTGATCAAGACAGCAGAGGTCCACGAACAGGGTGAGTAGAGGAGGGACTTCAAACCACCTTAAAATTAACATCTTATGCCATCAGCCAAGAATGAAGTCAAGACCTCCATTTGCTATTCGATATCGGAGGCCATTTGCTCCATAGACGAGGACGACAAGCACACAGATCAAATAGAGCTGTTCCTCAAGCAGGCCAAGGAGAGCATCAATCTGGACACGGACTTTGGTGGCACACCCGGCGGCAGCAATCGTGGCGCCGGCGGCATGAGTGCCGTGAGCACCGTCAAAATGGACGACCTAACCAATGCCGAATCGGATCGCCTGAGTCATAGTCCACCCAACAACTATGCTATGGAACTGGATGTGGGCATCGCCGACTATATAGCAGAGGTTCTGGTTAGCGATGTACTGACCACGAATATAGGCAAGCAGGCCCTCAAAGTGGTCTACAATTATCTGAAATTCAACAGGGATTGGTTGCTGGAACAACTGGGAACGGGCGACAACGATCCTAGTCCCTTTCAAGGTGTCCAGGGGCAGAATATCAAGGAGGCCCAGACCTCAGTGCTCAAGTCCATGTTTTTCATTGGAAACACACCGTTTGATCAGCTGCTGACGGGGTCCCTGAAGATCGACTACGTAAGTTGGCTGCAAATGCCTCTGTCCCTGAATCCAGAACGAACCTGGTTGCATTTGACAAGGCGCTGCGACTTCCAGGAGGATTCAAAGCTGGCGCTGCCAGAGGTGGCCATGGTGGCTGGCATTGCGAAGATAATGAAGCGACGCAAGGAGTTCGCCAAGTAAATCGTGGAGGGACTGGTGGCATCATTAGCACTCCCTCTCGGTCTGCTGTGAATTATGTTGTAGATGGAAAAAGGCACTGGAGAGGGCTTTCTCGCGCACTCTGGAGGCGGCTTCGCTCTCTGTGTCTTTGGATGTCATTAACGCCGCATAATGCAAACAAGTCGCTTGATACGGGAAGGGGCACCTCGCCGAATGCACAACAAAATAGAAAGGGCGACACGGAGCAGCAGGGCGCTAAAAAAAGAATAATAATATTTACATCTCCTCCAGCACCAGCTCCCCGTCTCCATTCCAGGGTTAATGTATGGGGGGAGATGGTGGGGGACCTACTGCCGAAAATGTTTTTGTCCACACTCTGGGGTACTCGCCCGGCACTTGGCAATTGCTCAGCAGCTCTCCTGGCCGTCTTTAGAGCCGTCTTCTCGGTGCCTCCGCTTCCTCTGCGCTCCTCTTGCAGCCAGTTATGAAAATTACTGAAACGTAGCCAACCTGGGCTCATGGTGGGGGAGGAGGAGAGTACCAGCACACGATGAAAGCACAAACACATAGAGAGAAACACACACACACACATCAGCAGGAGAAACACACACAGGACAACGTGACAAATAAAATCAAGCTAGAAAGCAGAGAAGGAGAAAGCGGCAGGATAACGACGACAGGGCAAATGCGCTTCTGCTAATGCACTATATATTCATATAAAATATTTATATTTAATCTAAACTGTAAATTTAATACGTTGAAATAAATGCTTCTGCTAAATAAATCTTTTCAAAAAGTCTAGTTTTTTTGGGGAAACGCAGAAGAAAAGCCTCCAAAATATGTGACGTTTTCTATAAATCTCTACCCAAAAAAAGGAAGCAAATTCATTCGAACTCACAGCAGAAAACGTTACAAAAAAAGAGGAATAAACACCGAGTGTCCTTTCAGAACAAATCAACTCGAATATTTCAATTGAAGCGCCTGCCCCATTGGCTGGCTTTGGCTACAAAGTCGGGGCAGGACCAGCCGCAGCGGCGACTCCGACAACTCCGGCAACGACAGCGACGACTACGACGATTGCCCCATGGTTGCTCCATTCATTCTGTTGTCGCTGCCAGGAGCGTGCGGACGTTCGTTGTTTAGAGGCACACGACCATAAAGTCAAGTGGCCCCCAAAAACTCAAAAAAAGAACCCAAAAAAATACAGAAGTGAACTGTGTGACGTGCGGGGGTAAAGTGCGAATGGTAACGGTAATTTGCGGACATTAGTTGCCACACACACACACACACACATAGTGATTAAATGCTCAAAACGAGAGAGAGACAGGAGAATGGAAGCAAAAGTGTCACTGGGACCTAACATTACGCATACGCAGCGTATGCCGCAGGTTAAATGTTGAAATTTAAAACCTTAACGAGCTGCCAAAGAAATGCTGGTCGTTAGAATTCTCCCTTAGATCTATATGTACTTTGTATGCCAGGCACGAACTGGATTTTTTTGATGTGGATACCGTCTCTATGATTGTTATATTAGCTCTATTCCGGCTACACCAGTGTCCAAGTGAAAATAGCCAAGCAATTGAACAGGAAATCTAATAGAAAACTGTGAACACTAAGCCATGAGCCAGATACAATTGCAACAGCAACAGCAGCAGCTACATCGCCGTGGACACCGTCATCATCGTCGTCGCCAGCCCCCAGAGCCTTGCGAGTGTTTGCGTCCTGTGATAAGGGTTTTTGGTCTGCTGACTTCATTCGGTAAGCACAAGTTTCTGTAAATTCACGAGAAATAATATAAATGTGGCCCAGGTGGACCTCACTACCTAGACCCTGCTCAGCCCCCATGCCCAAGATAATGCCAATCATAGAGAGAGGCGGCATGGCATGGGCAAGGCCTGGCATGATGTATGTGCATGAATAAATGCATGTTGCATGCTGCTGTTATGTCGCTTTTGGAATGTTTATTCCTGACGAATTGTGGGAAATATATAGCCGGAGGGTAGGTTGGAGGGAGTGTGTGCATTCAATGGAAATTCTGAGAATATAATAAAAAGAATATTCTTTGCAGAATTTTTTTTTACAAAGTTCTTTTCGAGGGAATTTCTATAGATTGATTGTGCTTTACTTGTTTTGTACTGAGTTTATGACTCATATCAGTGCTTCTAAACAGGTTTACATCTGCTCTTTTTTGGCACTTTATGAAGCTAAATCAGTTTATTAAATCATCATGGTTTCCATAGATCTTATTTGTGATGACCCATCTTTCCATCATTTATCTGAATATCTAACAAAGGAACTCCTTTCGGCTTTCAAACATTTTTGCTGTACCTTTTTGGCCATCTGCTGCAGCTATCAAACTTGACTTAACCGCTTATCATGGCCAGTCAGTGGGACCAGTCAGTGGACCAGCAGCCAGTCTCCAAATGGCCCTTAATGTGTTTAAAATAATGGAAAATGTGGCCACTTCCACACCCCCTTTTCAGCATGCTCGTATGATAAATGGCTGGCTGCAGCATAACAAAAACTTTTGGGTCAAGTTCAAACTAATTTCCTTAAAAATTGTTGTGGGGTCCCTCTCTATTATGAATGGAAAAATACAGCAGAATAAAAAAGTGGAAAACTTGATAGTTCATAAACCCCGAAGCATGGCTGAGAAAGGGGGGTCTTCGAGGGGAAATCCTGTGTCAGAGCCATTAACAAGGCATTGGCCTTTATGCAGCATGCAGCTTGCAGCTCACAGTTCGTGCATCCTGTGCCAAAAGCAGCTTCATTTTCCCTGCTCGATTTCTCCCCAGCAACTTTTCCATACGCTCGACAATGAGCCTTGTTGTTGGCGCCTTTTGGCGCCAGCCATTTCGCCATGTTCCCTCTCGTCCTAAGCGGATGCCACCAGAATCTATTTCCCCCACCATCTCCTTCAATTATCCAGATAATTTTTTGCATGTTTTTTTTCGATTTTCGGCCCCCGGTTTTATTCTGTTCACAGCATTTAATGTAATTGGTTTCGGTTCGGCTCGGTTTGGTTCAGAGTCTCCACTGAAATATGGGAGGAATGAATGTATCTCTCTAACTGGTTTAATCTGATTTGTTTTTCGCGGCTTGGCATAATAAAAACAACTTAATTAGATTGAGTTTTTGTGTGGCTTGGAGACTGAACTGCGATGGGATGGGATGCGATGGGATGGGTGCTTTTGTTGGCCATATCTTACACATTGAAAGTGGTCGACGGAAGAGACAAACGGCAACGGGATGGGGGGGGACACATAATGTGGTCAGAATATGAATATTTAAGGGGGCTGCTTGAGCAGTTTGGAGAAAGATGAGTCCAATGTGTATCTCCTACTCACAAAAACTCGTCAAACCCCTCGCGCTTTGCTCAGTGGTTTCTTATTACATTTTATGGCCCTGGCTTAGTGGACAAAAAGGCCCCAACTCAATAAATATGCTTATAAATATATTTGCCTAGACACAATCACATTATTTTATAGGCCCCCATTCAAGGATACAGGATATCCAAACAGAAACCCTCCTCCTTCTTAAAACAACATTCTTAGGCCATTTTTCATTCCAGTTATCTGCGGTGTGGGCGTCGATGTCTATATGCATGGCTTCCAGGCGGGACTCTATATACTGTAAGCCATGTTAAGGGACCATAGTCCCACCGAGAAGTCCGTTAATTTCTGGTCAGTTTTTCAGCCCTGCTGGTAATGTTCATCGAGATCAAGTGGCTGTTTACCCTATTCCTGCAGCTCCAGTGCTCCGAGTGAGTGCTCCCTATATATATTAACTATATATATGTACTTATGATTTCGAATTTAATTGGATCCAGGGATAACTATCAGAGGGGCTCGAGAGGGTCCTACAGTTGCTTGGGCTGCTGGCGGGTGTCGTCCGCCTTCTGCGGCGGCTGGCACCCCACTCCCATCTATGCGATTATTGGCATCTGCCTGATACTCTATCCCCATAATCTGTGGCTCAGCTATGTGGCTGGCATGTTCCTGCTGCTCCTCGGCCTGCTTCGACTCTGCACTCTGATGAGATTCATTCCCGCCAAGGACGAAGGCCTCCTGCCGCAATGCGACTTTGAAAAGTGAAGGAAGACAACGAAAAAACTTTGCTCTGTATTTGATTGTTTGCTTTGTACTTGTAGGGTGTCCAGTTTTGTGGATAACATGGAGGATGACTTCGTGGAGATTAGTGCCTCGCAAACAGTCTTGGACCAGGAGGACGATGAAGATGATGGAGACGAAGAACCCACCATTGACGATGATGTTTGCTAATAGTTAAGAAGTTATTGCTTAAGTTCTCGTCTCTTTAGTATTGGAAACCTTTAACTTCAATATTGGTCAGGTTTCAACTCGCCCAAGGATTTCAAGGCTTCAACCAGTTACGAATCAAAAGCGAAATATATATATTTTTTGTTGTTTTATTTCCATCTTTCCGTTGCAGAGTTCTCGCCATAATTATTTTAAAGTTCTCTCCCCTTTGTCACCAAGTGAAAACTTTATTTTAAATCTGTTTTCTGTTTGAATTTGTGGCAAATGGATTACCCACATGACTGAATGCCAAGAGGATTGGTTGGTGGCCAATCGACTCCTCTTCTACTTCACCAAAGGTACGCTCGTGGCCCTCGTAGTCGTCTTCGTCTTCGTCATAGGACTGTTCATTCGAGAAGTAGCGATGGTGTCCATAGTCTCCATGGTGCCCATAGTGCCCGTGATCCCCGTGATGTCCATGGGAAGGCGGTGGTGCTGGTGGTGGGTAGTTGTCCCGATATGAATGCGAGCCTGGGAAACCGGGAGGACCTGAAGGACCTGGAGGACCGGGGAGACCTGGAAAGCCCGGGTAACCCTTCTCGCCTGGTGGTCCCTTCTGCCCTTGATCACCCTTGGGACCCTTCATCCCTGGATATCCTTTAACGCCTGGCGCTCCCACAGGCCCTGGTGGACCTGGCGGTCCAGGGGGGCACTGACAATGCTGCGGCGGAGGGGGATAGGGATAGCCAGGCGGCGGGTACGGCGGATGATGGTGGTGGTGGTCGTGATGATCGTAGTCCTCGGATATGATCACTTCATGCGGTGGTGATGGATGCGGGGCCGGAGCCGGAGCCGGAGCGGGACTGCCAGTCATCAGCGTGATGTGGCGCGGCCCGAAGGTTTCAGCTCCTGCCAGCAGCACTCCCAGGCCGAAAGTAATCCAGAAACTCGAAAAGCTAGCTACTAAACGCGACTTCATTCTGCCAACTAACCAAAATCAGATGATCATCAGCTCTTTTTATATCGCGACAAAATTCAAGAGAATGGCAAGCGATGGTAGAGAATCATTCAAACTACCGTTGGAATAGCTCATTCGAGATTTATAAACTTTGGCGAACGATTATTGTCTTTCATATACGAGTATTCTATGCAAATGCCTCTTGTTTAATAAACCAAGCCAACTATTTATAAAATGTGTATACGATTTGCATAATAATCAATGAATGAGTTCTGTTCTCTTTCGGGTGCGCTGAAAGAACTTTCACAGGCCCAACCCCGCGCTGGTCGTTGCGATGGAACGATGAAAAGTGAATTCGTGAACAAAACTAAATACTGTGAATCCCTCAATAAAACTCACGCTAAAAAATGTATATCCAAGAGTTGGAAACCATCAATTGAATATATAAAAACTTTTACTTACTTGCTGAAATACGCATGTATGTTGCATACCTTTTTATTTCCCAAAAATAAACCCTAAATTTTGAGCAGCCTTTCACAGAAAAAGACACATATATTTACTCCAGCCAGTCCAAAGAAAAGCTTTATTCTCATTATATTTCTGGTTGTTGTAGTATGAATTCTTTATTATTCCTTTTGTTATGTGTGAAATGGAACCGTCCATGGCCCCGCCCACAAAAACTTTAACATATTTCTCGGTATTGGGGCAGGGATCTCATAGCAATTTCTTGAAATACTCACGCTTCAGTCTAAAACTTTTAGTTACGAGGGGAGGGAGGGGACTTGCTGTAATATTTCTTCGAGTTTTTTTTTTGTTGCTCTTGTAACATACATGTGTCTGTAAATAGTTGTAACTTTTAAAGTTCGTTTTTATTTGCATTTGCATTTGCATTTGTTTTGGTTTTTTGTTTTTGGTATTTTCTCTTACATTTTTGCTATGCAATAAACATATTTAATAATATTTTGTTTAGTAATATATTTTGTTAAACTACTATTCTCTTTGTTGGGGACTTTCATTAAGAAAACTTTGAGGTAGCTGTGTTTTTGCATTTAATTGTTATACGTAGATATATACGCTTAATCCCTGATATACTCGTAGGCTATATATATATATATAGTAGTAGTAGTGGTTGTTGTTGTGGATCTGGTGGATAAGAAGAGTTCGCTTTGCATCAGATGGAACAAAAATAAAATGAAAAGAATCAACGAAAGAAAATTAACTAAAATTTATATTTATTTTATTTTGTATATATATGTAATATTACGATAGATATTGCATAGAAAATATTGAAATATTGTTTAAATTAAAATTAAAGAATAGTAAAAAAAAAAATAGTCAAAACAAAAAGCAATAAAAGAAATTCAACATTTAAGATAAACAAAAGTTGGCGTTGTTGTTCAGTAAGTTCGCTTCAATGGAAAGTGTTCCATGATCGGGATGGATGGATTGACAAGAGAAAGATCGTTAAACAGGTTCTAGCCATGAAGTCTCAAAAGTAAACTCGATTTGACTAGATAATGGATGTTGGTTACAGTTATAGTTAACTTTCGACTTTGGTCTCTGTGCTCCGATGCTGTGCTCCATACTGAGGGCTACAAGAATTATATTGGAACTGTTCTATGGGGTCGAAATTGATCGAAATTGTGGCTAAAAGATGATCACAAAACCCTTTCCACATACTCAACAAGCACTTGGGGAAAAGTAAAATAACCAAAATAAGATTCGGGGGAAACGGAAAAGCGGAAAAACGGAAAACAGAAGAAGACATTGAAGAAACTGATCAGATATTCTTTAGTTTGTTATCACTTGCTCTTCTTATAACATACGACTAACAGCTATCTTTGGGATTCATTCGAACTTTGCTGGCTCTTCATCTATCCTTCTCTTTCTTTTTTATCATCTTTTTCGCACTACTCTGGTTTATATTCTGGCTCATTCTTCCAGCTCCCTTGGCTCCTTTGCCCTCTCCTTATCCTGCAATTCATCCTTCGCTCTATAAAAATATAAACAATTTCTGTTTCTGCTCTACACACAAAGGGGGGCAGGGGACCTGGATTTGTTCGATCTCTGATCTAACTGGCCGATCATCTGAAGTGTTGTATGTCACTATGGTTGTATGTATGTATATATCATCTGGCACACGCCACGTCAAGGCCCAGGAATATGGATATATATTCCAGGAATTGGCGTAGCGCCTTTGGGGGGGGGGGGGTTCGAGGTTCGAGGTGGGGGTGCATACTACTGCCTCCACGGGAGCCCACAGCCATGGGATGGGCCCGCTCCGGATTGTCTGCCGAGCCGCGCCAAACGCTTAGTAGAAGGAGCTGCACCAGGCATCGCCCGCCGTGGGGCTTAGCAGGCCGACCATGCTCGTGCTGTGATGCGTGGTCACGGCGCCAGTCACCACGGACGGGGGCGATGCGATGGTGGCATGCGTCGAGCTTGGCAAACATTGGAAGCAGTAGTTGGCCCCGTAGTTGCTGTCCCAGAACTGTTGGCCCTTGCACTGGAAGCGCACAGCGAACTCCAGCCGCTGGCCCACATGGAGCGAATTGCCGAACAGCACGAAGGTGAACTTGTCCGAGAATCCATCGCAGGAGTTCTCCACGTAGTTGGCCTGTAGATCCGCGTAGCTGCGCCAGCCGTCCAGCGAGTAGCGGATGTGCACTGACTTGTGGAAGTCGAGATTGCGCACGCGCACCGATCCGGATATCGTCTGGTTGATGTTGTCCGAGACGGCGGCATTCTCCAGAGAGACCTGCTTCTCCCTGACCGCATCGAGGAATGTGGGCAGGCCGCCCGGCTGCTGGAACAGCGGCATCAGCAGCTTGTCCGACTTGGGCCCCATCTGCATTGGCGGCTCCGATTCGAGTATCTCCAGATCCTCGAACGCCGACTTGGGTATTGTGGGTATCTCATCCAGGAAGGTCTTCACATCGGCCAGATCCAGGCCCAGCACATCGGCGAATCGCACGATCTTCTTGCGTCCGGGCGTGCCCGGTGGCGTCTTTCCCGTCTTCAAGGAGGAGCAGCGCCTCACCCTCTGGGGCCGGCAATCGTCTTCATCGTCTGTGGTGTCGATGCCTTGGCTGTGGCTCGTCTTCTTTTCCACCGCCTCGGCGGCATCCTGCTTGGCCTTCTCCAGCTGGGCCAGATCCACATCCACTGTGAGATTGCTGCCGGTGTCTGCTGTCACCGATTTGTCTGTCTCATCGACACCGCTGTCGGGGGAGGCATGGGCGTCGGTTGCACCGTCTAGGCCCCCATCCGACGATGGGGAGGTATCCAAGGTTCTGTCGGGTGTCGGGACATCGTAGACCCTCTCATCCAAGATTCTGTCGGGAGTGGCCTTATTCACGTCTTCTTCTTCATTTGCTTTCAGTTCGAGCTGCTCCTCTGCGTCCACGTGGCCATTGGTCAGAGTGGCAGAGGGCTCTTCTGGGGGAGCCTCTGCCACAATACCGCCGCTGGCTTTGAAGCTGTCACTCTGTTGCAGCAGTTCGCTGAGTATTTGTGCCTGCAGGAGCGTCTCATCCTCATCCTCCTGATCCACCACTTCCACAACCAGCTCCTGTGGTTGAGTTTTCTCAGCTGTCTCTTTCTGTTTTTCCTGCTCCACCACCTGCTGCTGACCGTTCGTCAGCTCGTGTCCCCCATTCATTGGCAATGCATTCACAGAGTCAGTCAACTCCGAGGCTGGATGCTTGCTGGGCTCCGGGGCCTGGGGCTGTGCGTTTACCGTGACCAGTATCTGATCCGGAGCCACTGATCCGACGGCCGATGTGGATGTTGATGTGGCATCGAAGTAGGGTCCATCGGCGGTGCTGCTGCTGTGACTGCTGGCGGCCGAGGCACACGCATAGCCCGACTCGGCCGTCGAGTTGTGTGGCGTATTCGAGGCGGTTTCAATCAGACGCAGGTACTCGCACTCATCCACCGGACTCCCGGGCGACTCCAGCTCACAGTCAAAGTCGAAGAACGAATCGGATTCGTGGCGCAGCGGCTGCAGATCGGTCACAGTCTGTTCGGAGTCATGGGCATTCACCCAGGTATTGGTATTGGTGCCATTTATGATGGGCTCGTCCTCGGGATTTTCCGCGCCCTCCTCGTTTGCCTGCAAAAAAGAGAGAGACTTCGATTAGCAAAGTTCTAAATATTTGGGAAATGCTCCAAAACATAGTAGGCCGCACCAAATAAATCAGAGTCTTTGATCAGTATATCAGTATTCCAGTAGAGCTAGTCGTCGTACTAGTGTAAAACCGTAACTCGTATAATTTTGTAATAAATCCCACAACACCGCCATGCTGACGATGCCAAGTTTGAGACAAATGGCTCCGGAATTTCACACGACTGCGGTCGTAGCCGGAGGTCTACGGGATCTATCTCTGAGCGACTTGCGTGGCAGATATGTGCTGCTGGTATTCTATCCGGCAGACTTTTCGTATGTCTGCCCCACCGAGTTGCAGGCGTTCAGCGATCGGGCTTTGGAGTTCCGCAACGTGGGCTGCGAGGTGATGGCCTGCTCGACGGACAGCCACTTTGTGCACTGCGCCTGGATAGCTCAGCCGCGCAAGAAGGGCGGCCTTGGGGAACTGGACATACCCCTGCTGTCCGACAAGTCCATGAAGATAGCCAAGGACTATGGCGTGCTGGATGAGAAGACGGGCCTGGCCTTGCGGGCCACCTTCATCATCGATCGCGATGGTCTGGTGCGCCAGATCACGGTCAACGACAATGGCGTGGGTCGCAGTGTGGACGAGGCACTGCGTCTGGTCCAGGCATTGCAGTTCAGCGATGAGTTCGGTATGGTCTGCCCTGTCAACTGGAAGAAAGGGACCAAGGGCATGCAGCCGGACGAGTCCGGCAAGGAGGAGTATTTCAAGAATTCCACATAAACAGAAACACATAAACAAAGTCCTTAGATAGAAATGCCGTTCAGTTCAATAAACCCCACCCATAGCGAGTTTAATATCTTGGCACCCACACAAGGATAACCCTTAAAGTTTCTTAGTCTTACCTGTGATCCCAAGGTGCGCAGCTTGGAGGACAGACTCCGTGCGAATGCCTCGGCCCGGCCACGGCATGAGGACATCCCTATGGTTGGTATGATTGAGATAATGCTGCAGGGCGGCCTGCTGTCCGGCGTGCTTGTGTGTGTCAGTGGTATATCGCCGGGATCGTTCATTTACGTCACGTCACGCACACACACACAGAGTCGGATATAGTATTGCAACGGATCTCCGGAATATCTGCAATTATACGTACATATAATATCACCCAAATGTATGACGTGAGTTATATATTGAGCAATTTCTGTTGTTGTTTTGGCTTAAGTAAACAAATAAATTTTACTCGTCACTTTCTCTTTCCTTTCTTCAATGTTTTTGGATTTGAAAACAGCTGGCAAAATATATAGATTTCCATATCATTTTTTATTAACTGCAGCGCATATTTTCCGTTCTATTTTTAAATGATTTGATTTAGCGGGTTGTCATTAATACTTTAATAGATCGTTTAAGGAATTTATGTGCAGATTGTATATTGAAGAATATCGTATCTCCCGATATTCACATATAAATATGAATATTAGTCCTTAGTGAAAGGCCAAGGATATGCCTGCGTGAGTCGATTCTTAGTATAAATCATGTGATGAAAACACTGACAGACCTGATGACATCCCCAAGTTGAAGCAGGTGACACCATAACAAATTGTTAACATTTCTTGTTCCCTCTGTTTTGCTCTTGGCAAATGGGCTTGCTATTGTTTTCATTTTCGGGAAACGCTCGCTGCACGTGCTATACCTTTGATCAGGTGAAAAGCCAAGCCACGCCCATTAACAGAGAAGGATCGATCGAGAGGCAGATGCCCAGACAGAGATAGCGACAGGGGAAGGAAGTACCGCCCCCAATTAAGACATCAGACAGAGTGCCATTCGAAATTAGATGCGCCAATCGAGGAGGAGACAGAGTCAATTGGCCTTGAACTTTTTTGCGGCATTTATTCTCTGTCTACTTTTTCGCCCGATTTTTCAACTTTTCTACTTTTCTATTTTTCTATTTTTTGTCTCGTTTTTCGGTTTTAAATATTTTACTTTTTATTTTTGGCAGCCTGCATAGGAAATTTAATTAAGCAGAAGAATAAATAAAACGAAAAAAATGAGCTGAACAGAGTTGTACGAAAAAATAAAAGATCGTCGGACAATCGATCGATTAAGGAGGTCAAAATGCCGATCTCTTTGAAATTTCCTTAAAATGAAATCAACTGCCTGCTTGTCCGCTTATAAGTATTTTATACAGATATTATATAGAAATTCCTCTGTAGATGAGTTGATGTGGCACCTTATGGCCGAACATATTTCATGATTCACAGCCATCCCTTGGGGATGGACAGATTGCAGTTTCTTTTTCGGCATGAGTACCTTTACTCATTTTTTTGCTCGTCTCTCTCTTTTCCCTATAGATAGGTTGAAATTGCTTTTGGCCGTATGCCAAAAGGCTAAATGCGTTTTGGGTGCAGATGACGTTGGACCAAGAAACGCAAAAAAAGAAGAACAGATTACAAAATTAAAAATATACACATTTAAGAGAGAAATGTACTCGGGAATAAGTAATTTATGAATTAAAGATTCATTGGAGCCTGACATAATGAGTTGGTAAATAACAGAAGATCACCGAATCACAGAGAAAAAATGGCTGAGGAGAGTTCATCGAAGTCTTGTAAATTTACTTTTAAATTTATATTACCCTTAGGCTTTCTCTCTATTTTTTCCCAAAAAATATTACTCATATAAATAATAATTGATAATGCAAGCCTAACATAAATGAAATATATTCATAACAAACAAAATAAATAAAATAGAAACAAAATGAAAAGACTTCTATAAATAGATCTACGACAACATACATATGTACGTACATATGTCTTGTCGTCTTTCAGTTCTGTTTTATGGCCAAAGTAACATTTCCGTTGTATTATTTTTGGCATTTGCCCACTTTCTTCATTGGCTTGAATCATTGAATCTTTGGCTTGTTTCGACCGTAACCGAAAGATACTTGTACTGCGCTCCTCTTTTAAGTAGCCCCACACGCACTGGGTAGAATTGGGAGACAGAGCCATAAAGCAGCTTAATTGAATTAAATTGGTGGAAATGTAGTGGAATTGATATTACTTCAAGTGGTTAACGCAATAAAAATAACTTTGCATTATTCTTGATTGGTTCACATCACGTCTCTGTCTGTGCTGTGGAATGAAGTCAAGGTGCTGTTGAGGTGTCAATTCTGTAGATAAAAGATACCTACATTCTCCGTTTATTTACTAATTTAATAAGCTCTTTTCTTATGTATGTTTTAAGAAGTGCGCATTTGTCAAAACCGTTTCAAAAGTGGAGCTAAGCTACACCCCTAGGATACAAATATTCATTGCCTTGAAGAGTACCCCAAAAGTAACTGAAACTAAAACAAAATCTTAAATATCACTCGAAGATGCTTGCGAAATTTCGAATCTGTGTAAGATGCAGTTCTTCAATTGTAATAAACAATTATCTTAAAGATTTACATTCCAATCTTCAAAATCAGCAAGTCAAATTCCAATGGCGCACTTTCGAATGCATTTATTCATCCACACATGAAACACGATCTTCGATCAGTGATCCGTTACCAGTGCTGAATTCAATACCATAGTCGCTGTAATGGGCAATCAATCGGAAAATAGATATAGAATATCTTCAGAGCCTTCAGAGGTTCTCGCAGATCTTCTAAAATATGTATTTACAACCTGATGATCGGACACGCTTTGATGCGCCACAGATACACAGACAGAGAGTGGCTTTAGCTTATCTCTGGGATCGCACAGATGCATTTGTCATGTCAATTAGTTAGTCACTGCTCCTCCGAAGCTTTTCACAAGTTATATAGATGCGCCATTAGCCGTTCGATTAGATGTTTCTAGGCCTACTATTAGCATTTGCCGGTCGCCGGCTTATCACCTGAACTACACATGATATTTGCGAGTGGGCGATGAGTTCTGGGCTCTGGGTTCTGTTGGTGTAGCAATTGTAGCACTAGCACTTTTAATCGTGCTGCGGCGTCGTTTCGATTATGAAAACTGATAACAAAATTTGCAATTTTATTTATAGCAATCGGAATTGACCCGGACCGGGAATGGTTTTTCGAGCCGATACTCATACTCTCCCTAGTGCACTCTCCCTGGATGTGCGCTGGCTCACTTACACTCGCCCGGCGGCCAGACCTATCTGGTGATATAATCGATCCACTTGGTAGCCCACCGCTGGTAGAGCCAAACTTTTAGTGGTCTGTCTGTGGAAATTAATTCCTTGAGAAGGCGCCGAAGGAACCGAAGGAACAACTACTGCGTCGGGCAGATGGCATCTGGGACATCGGACATCCACAGACTCGAAACTCGAACTCGAAACTGCACCACGTCTGCAGCGTCACGGTGTCGGGCGTGCACTGAATACAAAAACGATCTGTTTTGTTTTGTTTTTGGCATTCAGCAAAATTCAACCTGATTGATAAGGCAATATAGGATCGGTTCGGATCGAATCGGAATCGAAATCGAAGCGCACCAGAATCGCAAATCGCAGCCAAACACCAGCCAACGTTGTCTGCTGTCTGCTGCTGCTGCCCTCACACTGATCGCGCCCTCAGTCCGCAGTCCAACACTCCTCCCTCCATCCATCCATGGCTGCATCTGCATCTGTATATGTGCATCTGTATCAGTATCTGTATTTGTATCTGTATCTGTATCTCAGGGTGTATGTGTAATCGTCGCAGTGCATCCCAAAAGGTAACTGCAGCCGCCGCCGATGCCGATGGCGATGGCGCTGGCGATGTCGATGCTGTGCAGCGGCCGTCAGGCTGTCGCTTCTATAGACGGATGCTCGTGATCAGTGACGTCGCCAGCCTCGAATGTCTGTCTCAATATTAATCTTAGCTAACTGCTCTTCGGATCACCCTTCCGAACGGGGGATGTTACACTTAGCGAAACGGTTTATCATACAATTGAATTTCGAATGTTCGCATTGAATTCAAACTCTCTTTGAAATTAATGTATTAAAATATATAGAATAAAAATGTGTAGATTCTTTAAATTCTTCAAGCCAATATTCTTTAACCAAAGTATTTGCAGGCTACTCCCATTTCGATTATGCCATTCAACAGATTGGGATTATTGCAATAAATTGGTAAGTACTCGAACATATTGCTATCTGTCATATCTCCAGCTTTGCACATAAACCAAAGATAAACCAAATACACGACAGATAACTAATACCATAAATATGGGTAAGGGGACTATTGATCAGCGTGTCTAATTGCTCTCAGCTCTAAGCCTGTTTCTGCCTCGGACGAGCGCCCGCTGTGATTGTGGGTTGCCATGTTGGCCGATATGCGATATGCATCTAATCAGCCTATCGGTTGTCGGTTGTTGGTTGTTGCTTGTTGGTGGTTAAACTTGCGATTAGGTTTATGGGTTCAGCGCCAAATTGTGATTGTTTGGACACAGGCGCCGGAGTAGTTTGCAGTTCTGATTTTGCAGGCCTCAACATTTAAAGTTGGACGGATGAGTGACAGTAGGTGACAGTAGGAGACAGCAGCTGATAAGAAGCTGATACTATGCGGATCGTTGAACTGCCCCACTAGACAAACAGGTTTAGACAGATCCAACCACAACTAGAAGTCATTAAAGTCCTAACAATCAATTAATTAAGACATTTATTCGTTTTTTGATCTGTTCAACGAGTGGCGATAAGATAAGATTGGTGCTAAAAATGTTTGAGGTTAATCTAATAATGGAATAATGTATAGCTAAAAATATGGTAAGTTAATTTAAAGGTACATATAAGCGGATCTTCGAGGGGGATTCTGGACTTTGAAGATAAGGCAATTTGTGCAAATACTTCGAAATACTTTCAGATAGATAGTGCTACTGTATAGAGCACCAGGGCTCATTAGAAAACATTTATACGCT